TAGGAAAAGCCGTTGCTTTCCCTCCCCGTACTCGGCTCGCGCATGGACATGATACAGAGGGCCTGAACCGTCGTAAGGCTCGGGGTTTCATCGTCGAATAATAGTCGCCTGGCCTCAGCGAAGAAGTGATCGCCAGCTGTGCGGAAGTTGTCGGGATCGGTGCGGCCCGCCGGATCGTCTGTAAGGTGACATGCGTATGCGCAAATTGCGTTGACCAGTAAGGAGCAGCAGTACTTGTCGCGCCCTGCCCTGAAATCTTTGTAAAAGCACTCTCGGCTGAAGAGAACATAGAAAGGGTGACTCCAGGTGAAGTAAAGATCAAGTAGCTTCTCAACGAAAGCCAAGTCGTCCGTCACGTTGGTCCACGTAGAACCTTGACGTTCTGGCATCACACTATTGGTACGCAACCGACCACCAGAGAAGTTCTCATCCTCCGGGACCAGGCCCAAGCTAGCAGAATGACCAAAGTGTCTGCTTTGGCCGGTGGACGTCACAGCTGGCTTCCCAAGCAGCACACTCAAGTCCGACTCGAGACTCTGGACGTCGACGGGCTCACTCTGTGTCAGCAACACGTTTTTGCGCCATTGGTCGGCCAAAGAAGCGAGGTCGAGGTTGGGGTCTCTTCGAATATGATTGAGAAATTCCTGGACGTGTTCTTCTGGCAGGCGTCTCAGGGAATTGATGATGAACTCGGCGTTGGACGCATTCTCGGAGCTGGAGGCGGCGACAAGGGAGGCATCGCGTTTGGTGCCAGTGTTGTTGGTAGTTGCGGGGGCTGCCTTAGTACGACGACTTTCGCTATCAGCATCGTAGTAGCACTCAGTCTTGTAGACGGCAGTGCAAGTTGCGCATACGGGAGTACTGCCGTCACACTGTGAATGAGGTGTCAGCAAGAGGGCGATTCGCGAGGGGCCGGAAGAGTTCCCCGAAGAGTGGCCCAAACAAGAATTGCAAATTGCATTCAGCAGGCAATGAGTCGTCCGCGGAGGCGAATGTCCAGCATCAGGCCGCACGTACGAGCTTCATGTAGCATTGGGCCATGCAGCGAGAGGAATGATACTCACTTTGGACTTGCGTTTCCGGCAGGGCACGCAGGCCGACTGTACACAACGCCGCTTACTGGCTTTGGTATCCTGGGCCTGCGAGCTGTCTTGATCGTCCCTGTTGAAAGAGGTGGCAGTAGCGCCGCGGGCCATTGTTGATCACAAGGGGAGTGAAGGGACAATCCGCGCAGGCTCCGAGGACGTACGTGTTAGTTATGCCATTCCTCTGGGCCGGGTGGGAAAGTAATACGGGTTAGCCACCGCGGTCGCAGCAGAAGAACAGCGGGTTCGGTTTAGGTAGTTGTGACGTTGGCGGCCGTCGCGACATCCAACGTGCCTGCCGTAGTTTGTGCTCGGCAAGATACAAAAGCACATGGATGATTTTCGGCAGGGTGGCAAGACTAGAAGCGGCACCCCAAAAGACAAGGCGCGACCACGACCAAGCGGCTCGATTGGTCTGTTGCAGGATCTAGATCGGGTTTCAGACGCCTTCTGCAGTTGCCGGTGGGCGGTAAAGGGTTAAAAAAGCGTTCACAGGTGTGCCACACATGGGAATTTCGAATCGAAGTTCCGAAATGGCATGAATCAGCTGACGTGCCTGGACGCGAAAGGCTTTTGCGGAGATAGATGCGACAAACGTCAGGGCGCGCTTTGGGACGCTTCAACCAATGGAGCTTGTTTCGGGTACCGCAGCATCAGCTTGCGACAGGACAGATTTTTCTGGAGCACCAGGAGCATCACCGACTAGCTTCGGCATGGCGCACCGAGCACTGGATCGATCTGCCACGGCCGCGTCACATAGGCTCAAGGAGGAACATGTCCTGGTGCGCAATCTCGATGTCGGCGAGACAAGAGGGAGCGGCACCTGAGAAGCGCTGCTTGTGGGCAAGAAGATAAACTGGATGAAGAGGGGTTGTCATGGCGGAGTATGTCCTATGTCATGCGCTAGCGACCGATCTCCAGGGTTCTTGCTTTTGGTGGAGAGGAAGGCCCGATAGCATCCGCTGCCAATGCATTGCCGTTAGTCTCCGGTGAACTTCGGCTTGTTTACGGATCAAGGTATTACCAGGTGGCGGTGCCTTTACCATTATACCGGAATTGTCTCGACTACTCTACAATACCACTCTTCAACATACCGACCACTTGCCATGCACCAAAGGTCCAGATGCGACCACCAACCTTGCCGCGTAGCCTGTTCGCATGTGAAACTGTCGTCTCTTCGTCACATTTGTCAGTTCGGCCGAATGGTGTGGCCAGATCTGTTCGAGGTGAATTACCTTTCGATTTGAATGGGAGTCTCTGGCTCGAGTTCTCATGGTTCGAATTGAAAGAAAAAGAGCATGTTAGAGCGATTTCCCAAGCTTATCCATGGGTCTTGAGTTGTTGAGCAGTGACGTGTCTTTCTGTACATCAAGTCTGATAACTTTTTCTGTCTTGGGGGTAATAATGTTGGAAAACTCGCAGCCTCTGACACCTTAACTCCCATTATACCCGACCAGTGCCGTTCAGTCTATTCATGCACCATTGACGGGCAGAACACCCTTCAGTGGCGGCAGCAGACTTCTTGCGCCCTGTCTCGCCTGCTGAGCCAGTACAGCATCCATAATGACCAATGCAGCCATCATCTCAACGATGGGCACTGCACGAGGCACTACACAAGGATCGTGTCTGCCCTTGGCTTCTAAAACACCTTCTTCCTGGTCGTAGGTGACTGTCGACTGTGCCTGCCCAATAGTTGCTGCGGGCTTGAACGCTACGTTGAAGTAGATGGGCGCGCCGTTCGTGATACCGCCTTGAATACCGCCTGAATTATTCGTCTTGGTAGTGAGCTTTGGTTTCGAACGATATTTGCTTGCATCAGGGTTCTCGCCAGCCGGAACAGCAGGAGCCTTGACAAAGGCATCATTGTGAATTGAACCAGGCACTTGTGCGCCTCCGAAGCCAGAGCCGATCTCAAACCCCTTGGTCGCCGGTATCGACAGCATGGCATGTCCCAACTTGGCTTCCAGCTTGTCAAAGCATGGTTCTCCCAAGCCTGTTGGGCAGCCTCTTATGACGCAAGTCACTGTGCCACCTATGCTGTCCTGCGCATCGCGGTACTTGGCGATCAAGTCCTCCATACGCTTTGTGACTTCTTCGCTCGGGCATCGCACAGGCAAAAACTCGTCTACCTTGTTGCGTGTAATTGAGTCGATGAGCTTGAGGTACTCTGGGTTCGTGGATGCGGTGGGGTGTTCGGGTGTGGGGGGGAAGAGGAACTCGTTTCCGATGGAGTTGGTGAAGGCGATGATCTCGATACCGTAGGCTTCGCGCAGGTACTTCTCTGCTATGGCGCCAGCTGCTACTCTTCCTGGGTATTGTCAGCACTCGCGTAGTGATCGCGCGTAAAGTCACGCACCAATCGTCTCTCGTGCACTACTGCGTCCACCACCTGAGCTAGCCTTCACACCGTACTTTTCCAAGTATGTCCAGTCGGCATGGCTGGGTCGCGGGTACTTGTCCATGGTCTGATTGCCGTAATCTTGCTTGCGCTGGTTCTCGTTCATGACCCGGACGCCAATTGGGGTGCCTAATGTGATGCCAAACTCTGTACCGGACTGAATCTCTACACGGTCCTTCTCATTGCGGGGTGTTGTGATAGCGGACTGGCCGGGTCGACGGCGCGTCATCTGGGGTTGGATGTCGTCCTCAGTGAGGGCCATGCCAGGCGGGCAACCATCGATTATGGCACCGACGGAAAGACAGTGGGATTCACCATAGCTACGGGGTTCAGTATACTATAGTAGATCATATGGTAGGTGGGTGCGTACGTGGTGACCCTGAAGTGCGTACCAAAGGTAGACATTGTGGTTGTGGTGTTGGCGAGCTTGTGGAGATCCGGCTCTCTTCTGAACAGCGAGTCTAGCCAAGGAAACGTGTATCCGGTGTATGCAGAGGTGCCTCTACGTTTAAAAAAAATAGTAGAAGACTAATTGTTGTATTGTTGCAAGTCCAGACGCGTGCGCTAGAATAATCAACGTCAGAGTCACTCTAGGAGTTTTATTTATTTAGCGGGGCGCGGAGTAGAGCCGTCTGGAAACCCGAGATCGGCCACCGATGGTAAGGCTGGATTCGATTACATAGGCAACCCATGTCTCCCTTCCATCGGTGCTTCAACGCACTTCATGCGAATTGAGCAATCGGAACTGCAGCCCAGGAAAGAGTCTCTAAGATTCTAAGATATAACCAAGAAAAGCCGACGGAGGCACTGGCTTGCACTATGCGATGGGAACAAGAACGAGCATGAGGAGAAGGGATCAAGAGCTCCGGGGCTGCTTCGCTCCAGATGCGGACTAAGCATATACCTAGACTGCTTCGATCCTGTTCGACTGCTAGACTTGACATGGAAACCGCAGGAATTGGCAAATAGGTTGGCAGTCTTCGCCCTTGAAATGGTGATTGGTTTATAGTGGCATGGGGATGTGCTTGCAGGGTCAACGTTGTCGCCCAAGCAGACAACCCCACCCCTCATGGCATGTGCTGTTCTTGTGCTGTACAAAGCTTCCGGTCAAGGAAGGACTGGCGACGACATATACGTGGGCGAGTGGGTCGAACAACTGGAAGACGATGGCACGCGCGAGGGTGACTGCGCCTGAGAGCATTTCCGTGGTTGAGAAGGACAGATGGCAGGTGTCAATCGGATCAAGCCAGTGTCAAGTAGAATGAAAGAGGTTCTGGACGATGCATACCAAGACCAGACAACAAAGCGTATGAAATAACGGCCAGTATGGAGTCAGATGGGTGAATAGATGAGCTCCCATCCGCGCACGTTGCCGACCAACTGGCAGCACGAAGATCATCCGGGATTACTAGCGCGGACCCTTGCCGTGACTTCTCAAGAAGTTTTGCTTCCAGCCAGCAACACCACCCCCAAAACACCCCTCTATCCTCCATCGCATCCCCCACCAAACCGCCATTATGACTGAATACGTCAAGGTCGAGAAGATCATCCCCAAGTTCCCGCCGCCGGCGTTCAGCGACATCGCCAAGGCCTCGAACGACGTATGTTTTGGCTCCCCGCGACGAGCTCCCGCATGGCGCCATTGCTAACGGAGCCGCCAGCTTATCAACAAGGACTTCTACCACACTGCCGCAGGTCCGCGACACCAATTGACTCCCAAGCTCAAGCACTGACGCGCCCGCAGCTGCCCTTGAGGTCAAGCTCAAGGCCCCTAACGGTGTCAACTTCACCGCCAAGGGAACCTCTGCCCACGATGGGCCCGTCACCTCTTCTGTAAGTATGCGACAGTACGCGGAAAAATACCATTGCTAACGAACCAACCAGCTTGAGGGCAAGAAGTCGCTTTCCAACGGTACGACAAACCATTCATTTCTCCCCCGCTCTACGAGCCTCGTAATTCCCATTCATACGTCTTCCAACTTTCAGTCTTATATATTCTACATGAAGCAGCCCCCAGGCAAAAAGGGTGCTTCTGTAAGCGGCTACGGGATCAACCTGCTGACAACCGACGACGCAGGCATCAGCATCACCCAGTCATGGAATACTGCCAACATGCTGGCGACCAAGGTCGAGCTCAACGACACCTTCGCCAGCGGCTTGAAGACCGAGGTTCTCTCCAACTTCAGCCCCGCTGCCGGCAACAAGGGCCAGAAGGTCAACCTTCACTTCAAGCAGCCCGCTTTCCACGGCCGTGCTTTCGTCGACTACTCGGCCGCCGGCGCAATTGGCACCACTGCCGATGCTGTTGTTAGCCACGAGGGCATGGTCGTCGGTGGTGAGGTCGGTTACGATGTGCAGAAGGCTGCCATCACCAAGTACTCCGCCGCTGTCGGATACACCACCCCTCTCTACAACGCTGCCGTCACTGCCACCAACTCCCTGAGCGTCTTCACCGCCTCTTACTACCAGCGCGTCAATCCCGCTGTTGAGGCCGGTGCTCGCGCTGTCTGGGACTCAAAGTCTGGCAACAACGTTGGCCTCGAGCTCGCTGCCAAGTACAAGCTTGACCCTGCGTCTTTCGCTAAGGTATGATGGTCCCTGGTATGCACGAGGGCGTTCATGCTAATCCCATATAGGCCAAGATCAACAACCTTGGAATTGCTTCCCTCGCCTACAACACCAAGGTCAACAGCGGTTTGACCTTCGGTATTGGTGGCTCTTTCGATACCCAGAAGCTGAACGAGGCCGGCCACAAGCTCGGCACCAGCTTCACCTTCGAGGGTTAAGCACCTCAAAAATGACATTTGTGGACAGGAGAAGGGGGAAATTGCCTTAGATTCCTTTGGTTCTCGCGAAGCGATATCATATCAATCTAGTGCTCAAGAGCGAGCGTAGTATAGTTTTCTGACACGTACGACGACTTGTCCCAATGCAATACTTGGACTTTCAGACTCGAATGCACGTTTTCGTGGTGATGATGACCAGCTCCTAACCAAGTCTAATGCCATTCACTGGAGTCTTCGTCGGGGTTTTGAGGACACGATGTGTCGGCATGACTACTTGATTTATACATGTACTGGTCCTGACACGCCAGTCTTCAACAACACGCAAATTGCAAAGCCGAGCAAATGACCCTTGATCAATGAGCTATGCTGTTTGTTTACTGTTTGTTGTTTCTAATGTATGCTATGCCTGACTCCAAACGTGAAGCCATTACCTCATGAATGGAAACCCTGAAGCCTCATCTCTACTTGTTATAATTCACTACAAGTATGACAATAATTCATGTGCAGCATAAAAGTGGGGCTTAGTAGTCGTCACCGCGACTGAGAATCTCCTTGCAGTTGGGTCGGAGTACGAATGTCTATCGTGCGTCAGCAAATGTCCTTGCAAAGATTAGTCAACCACCTGGATTACTTACATGTTCGCTCTGTGCCGTGTAACTACCCTTGATGTCGCACAGCGGGGGGTAAGCCTCGACGATACCCGCACTGACCAGGTTGTTCAAGCCCAAGAGGTACTTGTCATGGCCCAATCGATCGAGGTACCGCCTGCAGAAAGGCAGAGTACCGAAATTCTTTGTAATTGAGTTAAGTAGTGTCTTCGCCGAAGAAACACGAAGAGCGACTTTCGGTGCATCCGCCCTCTTGGCGTAATGTGATGTCTCCATCTGAGGTGGTTGTTAGTTGAGTAGAGTGCAGAAGGTTGGGTGAGTGACTTACGTCGTCTCGAACATAACCCTTTCCTGTGCTACCGAACGTTTCGATAGCAAATGTCTCGCCTTCTTCCATCTTTGTTTGGTCACCGCCCTTGACGATGGGCACGGTCTTGCCGCCATGAATGGTGTAGTGGCCAATGGAATGACCGTTAAGGTTCCTTATGCACTTGACGGGCAGCATCTGTCCCTTGATCTCCACCTCGTAACTCTCCATGACTTCTTGGATGGCAGCGCCGATATCGCTCATGCGAACATCGATACCGGCCTCCTTGATACCAGCATTGGTAGCGGCCTTGCAGGCGTTGATCAAGTTGTCGTATACAGGGTCAAAGGTCAGAGTGAAGGCGCTGTCGACAATGCGACCGTTGATGTGTACACCAAAATCGACCTTCATCACGTCCTCGTAGTTGATGACCATCTTGTTGCCCGCGTTGGGCGTGTAATGTGCGGCACAATGGTTTATGCTCAGACCAGTTGGGAAGCCCATACCCGCTATTTGCGCATCACCGTCCTCCAGGCCCTGATGTCCTGTCAAGGCGCGAACCGAGTCCTCGATGCCCTCGGCAATCTCGGTAAGCGACATGCCAGGCTTGATCCAGTTCTGAGCCCATTGCCGGACTTGACGGTGAATCTCTGAGCCTTTACGGTATTCGGTGAGGAAGTCGTTGTTCATGCGGTCGAGGTGGCGCTTCTCTTCGGACGTGGTGCGGTACGCATTCTCGTTGACGTATTCCTGGATTTCGCCCTCGGGATACGAGTTGTTGGGGAAGAGCTCGTCGATGCGGACTCGTGGCGGTGATGTCTGCACCTTGGGTCCTCCTGCGCCGCCTGCTGCCCCAGCCTTCTTCTTCTTTCGGGGCTTTCTCTTCTTCTTCTTTTTCGCAGCACCCTCGCCGCCTTCGGGGGCACCATCCTCGGCCTCATTGTCGTCGTCCGAGTCTTCATGGTCCGCGTCGCCTGTGGGCTTGTCGCCGTCCTGTGCTGCGCCGTTGGTTGGCTTACTGCTGGTGTCGTCCACTGTATGCTGTTAGCGGCTACAACGCGCGCGAAGAGGCCGCAGAAAGCCGTACACTTCAAGTTGGCGACTTCGTCCGCTACCTTGGCCGCCATGTTGACCGTGGAGATCGTTCAGTGCTTGTCTCGTGGACAATCTTGAAATTTACGAGCCTCTCGAATCGCCCCGCTAACAGACGCCGGTGGGCTATCGCCCACGCATTCGGTCGATTAGCCACAGCTAGGCCATGCTTGTCTTAGCCTCGGCAACTTGGCGATGACGTCCTCCATGCGCGCCCACCCTTCACTCAAACCCATACTTCCTGCATGGGCACCTACACCCCCGGATACTGGTAATGGGCAATGCCACCCCGCCCATCTACTCTCCTGCGATCAATCGCTTCATCCTCGGCCCCGCGTCTACCGAGCCTGTCATCGCAATACGTCTGTCACGCATGTCTCCGTCGCACAATACCTGCTCCTCCGCGGCGCATTCAGGTCGCACACTTGCATGCCACAGCACCACGACCCGCCGATGCGCTGGTCAACCACTATGAGACGTTGCATCTGACCTCGACGGCTTCTGCCTCTGAAATCAAGCGCCAATTCTATACCCTCTCCAAGAAAAACCACCCGGACCACAACCGCAATGATCCCGAAGCCTCGACACGTTTCGTCGCTATAAGCGAAGCCTACCACGTTCTCTCCGTCCCAGAGAAACGTGCACAATACGACGCTCAACTGGAGCATTCACAACGGCAGTCGCGATGGGGACAGAGCGGGAATGAATACCCGCAAGGGAGCTACAGCTCCGCTGCCTATGGCTCAAGACCGGCTAGTGGGCTGAACAAGAAGCGCAGTACCTTCCGAGGCCCACCGCCTTCGTTCTACAAATCTGGTGGCTATGGACGCCATGGTGCGAAGCGAGCCGAATACGCATATTCCAACGCACACGAACGAGGGGAAGCAGGTAAGGATGCCGGTCAAGAGTCCTACGGCGAATGGGGCGGCTTTGGTCCAGGACAGCAGAAGCAAGGCAATCAAGTTCCCCATTTTGACGACATAAGGCACAAAGAAACGCAGGACAACGTAAATGATCATATATGGGCTAGGCGAAGGAAGCTGCGCAGGGATGGCATCAAGGTGGAAGAGGAATGGGAAAAGGGCAATATGGTTGTAAATTTCCTAGCGGTTTCGACTGTCATTGCGCTCATTGGGATTACGGCCAAGTTCTTTGAGAATCGGCACGAGGCTAGTAGTCATCGTAAGAACAAGGAGAGCGCATAAGTTGCGTGGGCGATTGAAGATAGAACCAAAGGGTTGAGTATCATGTCGGATAATAACTCAGTACTTTCATCAAAGCCTACTACTCCTAAGCATAGCCTAGTGTGGCTGACAGATGAATGATGATGATGATGATGATGATGATGATGATGATGATGATGATGATGTTCTTCTTACGAGCGAGCATTTTGAACAGGAGGCCCCATGAATCGGAAAGAAAGATGTAATGAAGGTTGAGCTGCGAATCGAGTCTTCCAAACTTTGGCATACCTAAACCCCATGGCCAATGGAAGCACACACCAGGAGTTTTCGCATCAAATCACCCACTTAGACGCTGGCGTACTACTCTTTGGACCCTTCTCATCACGTAGTCCTCTTAGTGATGCGATATCTGCATGTATTAGCCACTGCTAATGGTCGGTTCATTTACGCTTACAAGAACAGTTTCTCCCTTGAATATACCTCCTTATCAGGATCATCGACCACCTCCTGCACGTCGAACATCTTCCGCGCCGTCTTCATGAATGTCAGATCCGCTCGTCTCCTCCTCTTGAAGCAGAAATAGCACACAGTAGTCTCGCCGATCAGATCCTTTAGCGTCTGTTGTAGTAATGGAAATGCGGGCTCGAAATATACGCAGTCTGCTGCTAGGATGATATCCGGGTGTCTTGGTAGGTGTGACGGCGTCGGTTCGCCCCAATCGTATATCGATGCGCTGACACGAGACTGCAGAGAATTCAACGCAATGTTACGCCTCATGAGTTCAAACATTGGTTCTTGATCTGTGATATGCAGCGTAGTATCGACCTTGCAACCTATCGCAACCGCCAACCCGACCAGCCCTCCTCCGGCGCCGAGTTCAACTATCTCTTTGCCCGCGAGATCATCTTTATGCTTCCGGAGCATATATTTGCTCAGGACCATGCCAGCTGGCCATAGCTGCCCGCCGCAACCGTTCTTCAGATCCTCATGAAGTTTGAGTGGGGGTGCCAGCAGACCGTCGAAATCTATTTCGGAATCGCCAGCAGGTTTAATGGGCGCTGGAGGAACAAAATCCTGTGCAACGCCAAAGACATCGTTCTCTTCGCTATCGGACATTTCGAGTAGGTTAGTCAGGGACAGCGCTCACAATTCGTAGTTGGAGTTGTGCCTTCCAACCTTGGAAAGTTCGCGCAGGCTCAAAATGACGTTAGTGCGACCAAATGTGGAGATGGATCCGCCGTGTGCAACGACCGAGACTTTCATAACGCTTCATCAACTTTCTTTTGTCCTCCATCGACTTGTTGGAACCCCCATATCTGGATATGGCGCGTTGCAGAAGCAAACCACAGAGTCACGGGTACCACGCGTTGATGCTAGGCTGAATGTCGACTAATGCACTGCTCGACCAGCTCTCCTGTTGTTGACCGTCGGGACGCTTCCTTATCTTTATTGTCGCGCCGCGATCGACATCAACCTGTAGTCAAGCCAATGACATCCTTTCTTGGTGCCTATCAAGCGCCTCAATGCTGGGCGCTTTGGGATGGAATGCGGACACCGGGAGCGGGTTGCGTTCAGCCGAGGTGGCTTGCTTGTTCCTGCGGGCTGCTTAAACCCATGTCGACGTCTTTCACCTTACGGGCTCGTTATTCTCAATTGTATCTTCACAAGGATTGTCAAAGAGCCGTCTGCTCAATCTTAGGGGTCGGCTTCGTGTAACAGTTGTTGACTATGGGATTACCTACAGAGGTGCTGCAGGCCTGGGAGGCTTGCGATCGAACTGATACGCTCTTTGTGCTCGTCTGTTCGGTATTTTGTACGTACATCTTCCACAGATACTCACCACGTTGGCTGATTTTGTCAAGGCTGGGGTATCATACCAGCTGTAGGTATAGCCTACTCTGGTTATACAACACGTTCCAACTCTCTGGCAGCCATCATGCCAGCTATCCTATCAGTAATTGTTTGCTCAATCCAATGGTTTCTCATTGGATATACCTTGACATACGGTGAGGGAGGAGCGGTCTTCGGAGACTTCAAATACGCATTTCACAAGAATGTCCTAGCAGAACCCGTTGGAACAATTCCTGCAGTGTTGTTCAGCTTCTTCCAATTGGTTTTCCAAGCTACGGTGGCTGCTATCGCTGTCGGCGGTGCATGTGAGAGAGGGAGAATACTTCCATTGATACCATTCATATTTGTGAGTTCACACAACTCGATTGCGCCAACGAGGTCAACTGACCAACAATAGCTCTGGTCTACCTTCGTTTACAACCCCTTAGCTCACATGGTATGGGGTGGTGGTTTTCTCATGGATCTAGGCGTGGTGGATTTTGCGGGCGGTACGCCAGTGCATATTAATTCTGGAGCGACAGCGACAGCCTTGTCCGTATATCTCTCATACCCGTTGTTCCGCTCACGCAAGTCGTCGACCCGAACGCCATCCCATTTGGTCGTCCACCGTCCTGTCAACTCGCTTTGCCAACTTCTCGCTCTGATCAGTATTTGGGGTTCGTGGCTGGCTTTTGATGCTGGGACGACTCTGGCATTCAACTTCAAGTCCGTAATGGCCTTGTGTGTTACGAACCTCTGTGCTGCAAGTGGGTCGCTCACGTGGATGGTTTACACCTACGTGGAAGTGGGACGCTGGAGTCTAGACTCATGCTTTATGGGTGCCATCTCTGGACTCATCATGATTACGCCTTCTGCAGGCTTTATCGACCTGCCAACAGCCTTCCTCTTTGGTATACTTGGTGCGTTGTTTTGTCGTCAAGCGCTTCGTATCAAGTTCAGTGACTTTGCTCGACGCTGGAGATGGGTTGACCACGGCGACACCTTCGCAACACACTGCCTTGGTGGTATTCTAGCAACAATCTCCACCGGCTGTTTTGCGCAGAAAGAAGTCGCTGGTTACGATGGGTTCACCGAAATCGTTGGCGGAGTGTTCTTCGACGGCAATGTACGGCAGCTTGGTATTCAGGTTCTGGAAGCCCTCGTCGGATTCTCGTGGTCGTTCATTGGAAGCTACGTCATGTATGCGCTCATTGACTGTGTACCAGGCTTCGAGGTTTTAGCTGAAGATAAGTAAGTTGAGTTCGGCGATTGGAAGAGTGAGACTAACAGATTACCAGGGACATCATTGCAGGCTTGGATGCAAGTCAAATGGACGAAGAGACGCTATGGACCGAGACGCAGAAGTACTACCCCTACGCCGACCGCGAAGGCGAGCTGCATCTCGACTAATGGAGGGTGAGTTTACATGGTGGTCGATTTGTTGTTCAGCGTACAGAGAACGGATACGAGAAGGTCGAATGAAAAAATAATACTCTCAAGCCTCACCAAAATCTCGGCATTGCAGCGTCGTGACTGGTACATGATATAAAAGAACAAGACAAACATCACAGATCTATTCACGTAGCAGTTCATCCTCAGGATTACATCGGTGACTCTCCGCAATCCTGGAAGGTCAAAACGCCCCTCCTTCCCTGTCTGCACTCTCTCGGCCCCCAAACATCAGGTCAAGCACCAATGCAAGATGCTTAGCCCTCGCTACGCGTCTCTTGCCCACGCGCAAGCCTCCTAGCACACCTACGCAAGCACAGCCCGCCAAGCCTCATGCCCGGGATTTGCCTTGAACGAGAACTGTCACCTACATAATCAAGAAGCGCCTCATTGGTCACTCTAGAGTTTCACGCTGGGTATGCGGCTCTCCCGAAGTGCGCTTGACCTCAAAAGTAGTAGAGTTGGGTGCTGGAAGTGTTTGCCAAGACATGTCTACGCGTCTTCTTCGGCGGAACCTACCGATGCTCGACCCGCACATACGTAAGGCATGTCGACTATACACAGAGACGTTGGAGACCAAACTACAAGTGATGAGATCTGGTCTCTTGATTCAGTTGGGTCCGATTTGCTTTGAGTTGCGTGGTGTATCATTGGAGGCTTACGTGGCTGACTAGCCGTGTTGTTCAGGGCTGGAAGAACGGGCATGGGGAGACGCGAGGCTAGTGGTTTGAACTGATGGGGTTCTTCTGCAGCTTGAAATTGACATTGAGGCTCGGCATGTTGATGTGAACTATCGGGCTTTGTGACCGGTTGTATCGTGATAATGTTCTGGACGACAATGGAAACTGCATCATGGGCTGTGATTGCGGCGAATTCACTTGGGTATGTACACGCGCGCTTCGTATCACAGCAACGGTCATATACAACACCAAGCAAAAATGATAGGAAGTGATCCAATGGTGGGTCCAAGCGTACATACTCCCAGACCTCCATGTCGCCAAGCCCGGCTGAAGCTACGAAAGAGTAGCATGTCTTGCGTATGCTTGTGACGACTCGTACAGGTCGAAGAGGATCATGCAGGGCATGGGTATGGGTCAAGGATAGGAGGACGAACACCATGTTTCTGTTTCGTTTCCATCATCGACATCGTGATCTAGAGACCCCAGGGAGGCTAAGGAGCTGCAGATATAAAGTCAGTGGTCGGTAGCAGTCTAAGTCTCCATCGCCATCGCTTTCCTTCTTTACATTAGTTCACGAGTTCACTAAGCGACTGCCTATCATGAAGCTTACCGCCCTTATCAGTGTCGCCTTCTTGGCTCAGAGCTCTTTCGCACACCCAGGCGAAAGTGCTGCACAGCATGCGCGAGACGCTGCTGAGCGAAGAGCCTACTTGGCAAATAACAAGCGGTCTCTTTCACACTGCGATGATACACTCAAGGCGCGTGGTAACGATATCACTATGCACGCTCGTCGCAGCGCCATGGTGGAAAAGCTTCGAGCTAAGCGGGCCATCGCCCAAGGTACGTTTGTTCCCGAGAAAAGTCCCTAGACTGGAAGCTGATGTATTGAGCAGACAAACCATACCTGCGCATCCGTGACCTTGATACTGTGCTCGCTACCGATCACAAGTCGAACATGACTGGCGTCACTGCCAACACCGATCCCGCCACTCTCTTTGCAGGAAACAACTCCTGCATTCTTACACCTGAGGTCACACAAGGTCCTTACTGGGTTGAAGGCGAGCTTGTGCGAGAAGACGTTACCGAAAACCAAGAGGGCATCCCTATGACGTTGGACATCCAGATCATCGATGTGAACACATGTGAACCTGTTCCCCAGGCTTACCTCGAGATGTGGCACTGCAACGCCACTGGTGTGTACTCTGGTGTTGTGGCTCAAGGTAACGGGGTTGGTGAAGATGACGAGTCAAACTTGCAGAACACTGCATTGCGTGGCATCCAGCAGAGCGACGAAAACGGTGTTGTTGTGTTTCAGACCATCTTCCCAGGACATTACACCGGCCGTGCTGTAAGTCCTCGCCATTCCGCGTGATCTTCTTCTTGCATAATTCATACCAACTAACGACTGTATTGTAGACGCATATCCACGTCATGTCCAGACTCAACGCAACCGTAAACGCCAACTCGACCCTCTCAGGCGGCCACATCACACACGTGGGACAGATGTTCTTCGACCAGGACCTTATCACACTCGCCGACACGGTAGAACCCTATGCTAGCAACGAACAGGAAGTCACTTCGAACTCGGATGACTCTATCCTCGCTGAAGAAGCTGAGGATGTTGATCCATTCGTGGAGTACGTCATGCTGGGCGATGACATCTCTGAGGGTCTGTTTGGCTGGTTGGCGTTCGGCATGGACTCGACCAACTCTTACAATATCACCCCCGCGGCATACTGGACTGAAGAGGGAGGTGTTGAGAACGAGAATTCTGGTGGTATGGGCGGCGGTCCTGGCGGTGCTCCAAATGGTACTATGCCTTCTGGTACCGTTATGCCTACGGGAGCCATGCCTTCAGGAAATGCTGTAGAGTCAGGCATGAGTACCACGGTTGTCTCGTCACTGAGTACCGCTGTTGCTTCATCAGCCGCGTCCTCAGTTGCCAGTGAGATCACCCCTGGCGCCGCTGGAGTTACTATGCCTTCTGACGCTCCTCAGGGTGGACATGGACGTGGTAAGGGTCACCAAAACCATGCCAACGAAGAGGAGCAGCGGAACCGACATAACACCCATGTTCAAGGACAGTACTAACAGCTTCTCTTTCCAAAGCAATGTGTAGGTGACCAGAGGACGTGTAGAGACACCATTATTGTAGAACTGCATAACTAGTTAGCGGGAGTGCTAAGGAGGACGCAGCAGTTTTGAGGATTAGGGGGAGCCAACTTTGACACACTCGTTTGAGGGAGCATTTATTTACCTGTATATCATATCGAATCAACCGGACTCATGCTCCGACATCCGCATTTCCATATCACACCTGTCCATATTGTCGCTTCGTGTAACGGTCGATTGGAGGCCTAGTCGTGGGTGTTGACGTGATCGTATTCTTCGAAGGTTCCCATGCATTATCAGCTCTCCGTCTTGTCCTGCGCTTCTTAGTTCTCAAGCGCTTTCAGCCCATCCACCAATGCGCCGAAGCTCTTAACCCTAACATGTTTCTTGGGTTCGTCTTCTTTCCCTGCCTCTTTGGCCGTCTGTCCCATGCTCTTCTCCATTTCAGCATCTAACTGTCTTTGTACCTGCTCGCGATCCAAAACCTTCCTCGCTTCTTCAAACCCCCCAATATCCCTCACCCTCTTGAACCCTAGCTCCTTCAGTTTCTCCAATGCAATGTTTGAGCGTCTACCACTGCGACAATACAGTGTGACTGCATCATCCTTCCCCACAACTATGCCTTTTGCAGCGTATATTTCGGGTAACTGATCGATGATTTGGTACTCGATGTTTACGGTAGGTGCGATGTCGGAGGTGAGGTAGCCGGTGGAGAACTCACTGGGGGAGCGTACATCGACTAGGAGTTCTTGTGTTGACATCGTGAGTATGTGCGAGCGCATATGTGGACGAGTAGGGAAGTGTTGCAGATGGGCGGGCGGTTGTGCGACGCGATGGTGGCATAGAGGGGTAGCACATTGGTTCCGATCGCTAGCTTTAACCCCGCATGGAAATCTCACCCCGAAGGCAAGAGCCCAGCCCTCTGTGATCATCCTAGATAGAACCCATATGTCCCTAAATGGTACTATAAGAAATTTATCTGAGGTATCTATGGTATGTTTCGTCACTGGAGTCACAAGATACAGCAAAATCCATTCCTCTACCTCGATTGTTCGTTACAACTTATCCGGCACGGGCTCCTTGATAGGACTCTTCCGTTTGATAAACACTAAAATCATTCACAACTTGCATGTATGGCTGTGGACGGGCGATCTTTGAGTTGAAGAATTTTTTTCATTCAGAGGAGAGCTGCCAGTCCGATGGACCACTCTACATGTGGTTCTATGAGTACAAAAACACCTTTTGTCTTCCAATGCTCATTCTTGTAACGCTTTTTTAGCGCTCGATCGCAGCAACACACCGTTTGCCGTGACAGCGACCTCTTTCCTCTTCCCAACGCCAAAGAACCGGCTGACGCAGGCTTGGAGAAGCCTCAGTAGCTATGCAAAAGGTATCAAATGTTGTGCAGATATCTGTAAGCTGCCGTCGCAAAATATGAATGTGCCTCCCAGAAAGGAAATCGCTGAAGTGGTATAGAACAAACAAAAGAGACTCCGGCATTGGTATCGTAAGTGTCCGTGACGTAAAGGGCAAGAACAGATGCAGTAAAAACGCAAACATTAAGGTATGTCGGGCAAGTCGCCATCCAGAGGCGTTTGATGAAGAAGGGCGCAATGAAGCGCAGTATACATGTCTATGAACCCTTCAGGTTCGCGGTGGAGAAGTTGAAGTTCAGAAACTCGAACTTATCTTTCGAATTGGTTCGGCTTTCTGCCGAAAAGGTGCTTTGCGCACTGTTGTCAATAGATGGTGAGCCTCTTACGGAGTGCTGTGCCTCTCGCGGTTCGAGAAGCAGCGATCGACGGTAATAGCTTTGGACATTGGCCTGATCGCTTGCGTGCATTCGCTGGATCTGGCTCTCCATCCATTCCTGCATCTCTGGGATGGCAGCTAGCCGGTAAGGAACTTGGAATGATTGAAGCTGACCAATGATCTTGGCTGTCTTCATGTGTTTGTCGAAGTTGATGACAGAGACGCTGTCAGAACCAGAGTCACCAGGAAGCTGTCGCGTGGTGCCGTTTCCGACATCAATAAAAGTAAGATCGGTAAGATAGATGCCGACGAACGGAATGCATGGCGCGATGTGGTTCTGCAGACGCTGTCGGAGCACCGCATAGTTGCGTCCCACGTCGGTAATCGCTTTGAGTTCGTCTAAACGAGTCTTGGTCTTTGCAGATACAAGCTCCCAGGTACGCTTGAGACGCATGACCATGGAAGAGTTGAGCGAGCAGATGATGGCCATTAATGAGTCGTAGTTGTTGAGCTCCAAGCACTTCGCCGCAACCTTGACCCATTGTTTGATAACGACTGCGCGTTTCTTTGCATCCTCAAGCTGCAAAATGGTATCGGCAACCAAGTTTGCCAGGTCGGTCGAGAGAGTTGACATCGCTTTGACGTTGCGAGCCTTGGAATCTTTCTTCTTTGTCCATTCCAAGGCAAGGAGCTCTTCGGGCTGAATGGCACAGAAGAGCCTCGACTCGATAATGGTGAACTGTCTGGCAAGCTCTAGAGGATCGAAGTCCAGGATGCTGCACTGCGTTCTGCCCTCTTTACTACCTCGCAAGGCGTTAAGTTGGCTCTTGGTTACAATTGGTGACGGAACGTTGCTATCAGCAAGGGTGAAAGCTGAGTTTGAAGCACCCGTCTTGCTGATTGAAGACACCAAGCGAGGTACAAGAGCTCCGGCCCTTACTTCTGTCACCTTGGAAGTCAGTTCGGCGAGTCTTTTGCCAGCAGCAGGCATGGCTGCACGGAGCTTTCCAGTTGCAAACGCAAGGATCACGCCCAGAGCAGCAGAGTCACTCTCGCCACACCAATGGCTTTCTAGCCAACCCTTGAAGACATTATAGACACGGAGACGGACCGGAACTCCAACTGTCTGACTGCTGCCGATGTAGTCAAAACGGTCGATAAGGCACTGCGCCAGATCGAGCGGTGTTGTGAAGAGACGGAAAGTAAGATAGAAGGCGTTGACGAAGATGACGTCTGGAGTAGACTCGAAAGTGGTCAGCTGCTCTACGAGCGCTGGAAGGGAACCGCCAGAGATTTGACCTTCCTTGTTATAGATCAATTCATGCACGTAGGTAGTCTCCAACAAGTGCTCTTCGCCAGCAGCGACATCCTCGCTTGCTAAAGATCGAAGCTCGGAGGAACTGCCGAAACTGCTGATTAAAGTCTGGCAACTCTCCTTCTTCGTAGGCGAATGATCTGGGGTAGTAGCACGTGTCGACGTGTGCGAAAGAATGCTTCCAGAATCACCTTGGGCACTGAAGTAGGTGCTGCTTCCGTCATTCACAGAAACGTAGATGCTATCAGTTTTAGTAGAACCGGCGAAACTTTCCTGGGCCGTGCTTATGGGACTCTCGACGGAGTCAGATGCGTGAGGCGGAGGTAGTGACGGAGTTGGTACCGCATTGAGAGGAGGCAACGATGATCGGGACGATCTGAACGACACGGCAGTTGGGCTCTCGACAATGACGGACTGGGTCGATGGTTGAAGGCTGAGTCTGTTGGTATCGAGAGGTGAGGGTTGCGGCACCTCAGGAAGTGGCTTCGATTCTGAGATGACTAGTGGTGGAGGCATCTCACGTTGCTCAATTGGCGTAGCGGGTAGTGGTTTGTTCGTCTCTAGAACGGTATCCGTAGGCTTCGGCGAGGCGGACCTAACCGTGGACACTTGGTTCTCCGTATCGGGCTCGTTGAACATCGTTTCTGACAGCCCTAGACCAGCAGGCTCAGCTTCAAACTCGAAGTCACCAATCCTCTCAATCACTACTCTAGCTTTGGTGACACAGTCACCAGCAGAGCGAACACAGCTTGTGGCAGCAGCGACGATCTGCTTCCCTGCCTCGGGCGCTACCACCTCTTCAACATCAGTGTCGGCATTCACGAACATGTCCTTGGTCGCTTGCACTAGGTCGGTCAAACGGGTATACATGGTATCTCGTGCTTCTTCCAGCTGTTCGGATCTTCGCGAGTCTCGTTCCCATACTTCTTCGACGACTTTGAGTAGTTGGCGACACGCAACAACGGAGTGTTGGGTAATCTGGGCGAGCTCTTCAGAAGACCGTGATTGGAGGTGCAGCCCGATGAAAGAACCAATGTAGCCCAAGAAAGCGTCGTGTGCGGCGTTCAGCTTCTCGGTGGCTAAGTTTCCTTTACGTGCACTTGCTGATTTACCGGTGTACGACAATCGGTGCGTCACGGAAATACGTTTCGACTGGACTGATGAGCGCGAAGGCAGTACCGGTGATTGAAGAGAGTCTGGCTCTGAAGGCAAAGAAAAGGCAACCGATAGGCGGTTCAGGTTTCGTGAGGGGTGTGCGGTTGCGCTGTACCAGTCGTCGTGTGCAGACGGTGTACCTTGTGTGACTGGAGAGTCGCAGCCGTTCGCTAGAAGTCTGTTCTCGCCAGCAGGAGCTGATGTTTCTGTTGGTTCCACAGCAGCGTCGGCTGAGTCGGACGGCGGGGTGAGTGGTCGATGACTACTTGCGTCGCCAAGCTCGAAAAGCGACAGCGCCACCGCGTCCGTTGTCCAGATGTCGAGGAACCGGACGGCCCGGGTGACCAGCTTAAATGATTTGAAAACAAGCTCGTCCATGTGCTCGAACACGGGAACCTGGAGTTCGTTCGATTGCAAGGCCTCTTGCAAGGTCTTGGCTGTTTTGACTAGTGTGGACAAATCTCCCAAGAGAGCTTTCCGCATACGCCGTAAGCTTACATGGGTGAGGATGAGGCGTGAGTCTTTCTGCAAGCATTCAGTCCTTTCCTGATAGAAGTTAGTGAATGAGCTAGAAACACGCTTCGTCTACGCCGTTACTGAATTCACTTACGAGAAACAGGCGCACGCCAACAATCATGCCCTTTACATAATCTTGTCTCGAAAATGCACCGAGATCGCCATTCTCTCCATCGCGCACCAAATCCCAGAGATACGTTAACGCGGTCAACAGGTTCCGGATTATTGGATTGTCATAAGGTTCGCAGTAATTGGTGGGCAGCCACCCGCGGGCCCCTGAAGCTAAGAGTGTACCATCAGCCCAACCATTAGGATGAACGGAATGAACAAGGATAACGTCGCCTTGGTTGATGGCGACGGTGATGGAAGATTCGTCGGTCGACGAGGATACCGTTGAGCTTGGGCTGTAATGGTAAAATGCGCGGAGGTAGTTGTGGAAGACGGGTTGAGGATGCTGCTGCTCCTGCTGCTGTTGAGCCATAGCCTCGCTGGAAGTCTTGGGTGTTAGAGGAGGCGATATCTGTGATTGCGACCGGCTCGATAGAGTTCCTCTTGAGGACGACTGCCTGCTGTGACCGAAAACGCCCCGGCCGACACGCGATCGCGACCTTCTTGGTGACTTCTGAATGTTCAGTGGCGCTACTAGTGCGCTCGATCGCTTATCCATCTCTTCTTGCTCGGGAACGAATGACGCCATGTCGGTATCCATGACGGTATCCATGACAAGTACGTGAAGCGGATGAGATGTTGAAGTGAGATGCTCCTTGTAGTCGTCTAGCTGGACGTTGCACTTCGGCTAGCACACGTCCCAAGCATCTGGTAGTCGCCCAGGTAGATTGATAGAAAGGTAAGATAGGTTGGTCAATCGCACACGATTAAGATTATGTGTGATAATTGAAGTCTATGTTGAAAGGTCGTACTGTTTCCATGTTAACGGATAAGATGCGACAAACGGAGCCTGACGTACCCGATGGCTAGCGCACGGTAATGTGAATGCTAGATAGTGAAGCAAGTGACTGATGCTGCAGTGAATGCAATTACCCGATGTGGATTCGAGGCCGACGAATTGGCCTGTCGTCGTGGTGTTTGTCGTGAAACGCAGTACTGGATTCGCTGACGCTGGGACGAGCGCCGTTTCCGTTACACAAAGACGGTAGCAAGGTAGAAGCTCAGACACCGTCTGTCTCTCGTGGACGTATGCAGGTGTTTGAGAGTGAAAGCTCTAGAGCTAACTTGAACGAGGGGCTGCAGCTGGGGAAGGACCGCTGTCTTGTAATGGCGATAGCAGAGCAGGATGGACCTAGAGGCTTGCAAGGGTCGTGCTTGCCTCTGCAGGGGAGCGTGGGGTTCCTTCCAACGGTTCGTGAGGTAGTCGCGGCCCAAGCGAGGGAAAGAGCGACCAAAAAGAAAACAGACGCTGCCAGCAGAGGGTTAGAGGATGGCGACCAAGATGCAATGGAACGGCGCAACATTGCCTTTCTCCACAGTGGACGGATGGTCCTGTTATTATCACATCCCGATGGAGGATCCTACCGCCCACCTACTCGAGAAAAGCTTCGTGTGAACAGGACAGGGGCCTTCTGTCAGGCGTTGCAGGGGGGTTGAGCCAGGGCTAACGGAGCGTTGGCGCATGTGGGATGCGGCCTGCTCCCAACCTCGACTATAGCCCGCAAGCATCCTTAATCGCGACGGCGAGACCGTGCTGGCGAGCGAGGCCAGGACTTGTCCCCGGCATTTCTCCCTTGCCCGGTCCCTATGTTGAGGTACCGTGCACGCACTGACTGCATTCACCCAGCCGATCCACCCATGGCCTTCGACGGGAAGAGCCAACAGTACGCATCGCATCCATTGTCGGCGGTGACTGGCAGAAGGTGAAAGACAATCTTTGTCGATGCCATCACATCACCACTCAGTAGGCATAAACCCCCATGTTGGTTGCGCTCAAAGCATAACAACATACCGTCGCCTGCATCAAGACCCGCAGAGCACACGCACACGCGCGGACGCGAGCCAGGACCTGCAGCATCAGGCTTGTCGACCCACTGCGAACCTTCTCCCCGGTCGCAGACTCGATGTCTGGATGCAGCAAAGATCACCCCTCTGCTCGCGCCGTCTCTAACTTGTCTTGGCACCTTCCGCCGGCTCATCTTCCCCGGCTCAAGTGCACTGCTCCCAATCATCCTAGCCCAAATTTCTTCTGCAGAGCCCGCAGTCCGTCCTATTGGCCGTATGCACAAATATCAAGATATTGCTGTCCGTACGGCTGCACCACTGCAAGCCTCCGTTTAGAATCCCCCGAACGGTCGGAACTGAGGAAGAGTCAATCGGGCCTATGCCGTCTAGTATCAGTTTGCCATCTCCAACCACACAAGAACCGAATTGCCATGCAATAATGCCCAGCGGCCGCAAACGTCATTTTCGATATGGGACTCATCCCCCGGCAGTTGTAGGATCGAAGCGACGACCCGCCTCGTCCCCACTAAGAGCAATAGATCTGCGCCTGTGACGACTTTAAGCAGCATGCACATAAAGACGGCGACTTGACGACAACATCCCTACCGAGTATCACATGCCGGTTTCAAGGTGTTAGACTGGCAAGAACATATCCTTGCTGCTGTTCTCATCAACGCCTTAACCAGCACCACATATACCACCTGTTCACCTTTTCCATCAGAAAACGATCAGCACAAGTCGGATTTCGGCTAGCAGTACTACGGATAATATCAAACACTAAACTATCCCTCTGCACGACTACACTCGACGCTCAATGATGCAACATGGACAATGCTGGAAATACATAGTATTTCAGAACTGCTTCGTTTTAATTATTGCTCTCAGTAAGTCGTACACCGTGGCTCGAAACAGAGTTCAAGTATACTACTTTCCGTGGTGTCAGTATGATACAAAACGTCTGGTGTGCGCTCTTCGAAGACCACGGCGAGGCGTCCTAGTCTTGAACTAAACCCCCACTACGGGATTGACCGTATTGACGCTCCCCACTGTTGAGCGACTGTTTTATCGAGCATCCTACGGCTGGACCCGGCCAGATACATTCCTCGAGCATCTCCGCATCGTCACAGTTGAGATGCGCTCAATCCCGACGTCGATCACCTGGTGAAAACTTCATTCGAACTGTCTACCCCTGTTGGCACATTGAGATATGGCACGCTCCCTACTTCAATGCCGAAAGAGGCTCCGATCTGCATCTTCGCTTTCCCAATCGGGGTGCACGCGGGCCGTGAACTCTCCTCCCGCGGTACGGCTGAGCGTTGTTTCGTTTTTCCAATATCAAGATCCTAATCGTCCGGTCACTATGGTCTTTTGCAATCTGGTACTGTAAAGTTATCACATGCGCATTCATTCCGGAGACGACTGAAGAGCGACGCTGAGCGAATAAGAGCGGGCAAAACTCTTTGGGGCTTGCTGTCACAACAAAAATAGGTTCGGGACTGACAATCGCCAAGCGACTATCGAATTCGGCGAAGCGAAAACACTGCCTACTCCCTTTAGCCAGGCAACTTGGTGATACAAGATCCCAAGACCGACGCCACTCAGAGCAGCGCTGTCTTTCGGTTGACGACACTCCCGTTCGCGGCGGACCCTGTCAGAGTTTGTGCGATGTTCAAATGACAGCGGATGCCAATCATGTCGGTCCGTACATCCCCGAGTCAAGTTGCATTATTGAGTACACGAACGTGATTAGCCTCTAAACTATGTCAACACAAGGGGCACTGTTGTTGATCATCATTCTGGAAATTCCCCATTGTCGCACGAGACCTAAATAGAGGTCTAGGTCAACAGATCGACATTGCAGGCCACCTTACCTCATCTTCAACCGCAAGTAGTCCATAGTGCAGACGCTTTTGTTGTGTAAACAATTTCGAAATCCTGTTAACGGTGATAGCGTGAAGACGGCGCATACAAGTGTTTCATCGTTCTGACGCCTCCAAAGTAGTTCGCTCACTTGGAGGTACTTAACAAACATCTCGGCCCTTTTCTGTCTAAATCCCATCACAAACAGGCCATTAAGCAACCTCCCGCACAGGAAGCTAGGAGCTGTAGCTTGGCCATGAAAGTTACCAACTTCCCGACCGCGGGGATACGTTAGCTGCCGGCAGCCAGCCAGCTTTTCACTGCTGCGCAATGTGCGGGTGCTGAGACTAGCGTCGATAATGTAATTCCAGAACGACGTCATGGTAAACATGATGGTACAGTTGCCGACAACCTTGTTTGCATTAGATATCAGTGCATTTCTACAGATGCGCTGCAAACATCCCACCAGCCTCCACGCCCAGGCCACAATCCACACGCGAGAGCCAACGCCGACCCAGCATCGCGGTACGCACGGTGGATCTATTGCAGAACGGACATCACTCCGATGCACTATTACCGAGGCTCGGCTACCAATGACCGTCCCAAAAGGCAGCTGGAAGTCATGTGAACGAAGAAGAATGCGCATCTGCGGCGTGGTATAGACGAACACGATGCGGCGCAGCTCTGGGTCGCGATGAGACGAGCGATGGATGCGACCATTTGCCGCGTCTGCACAAACTTTGATCAATATCCCGAGTTATCTCGTGGTACTGCCCACGTCTACGGCTGGCGGCGCAAAAGAGCTACTAAGCGGCGATTGACGGCTACTTCGTGCACAACTCGGTCTCTTCTGACGTCTGCTTCGAGCAATGTATGCCATAAGAAGTACACACAGCGCTACAGGAAAAGGCATTGCCAAGGTCCTGGAAACCGAGTGGAACCAGGATGTTGAGCGTGAGCAAGTACGAGTCGTCAGCCTCAGCATCTAACCAGTTTGCACATCCCTTGCAGTTGTCCACGAATCTCATCGCTTCTTCCGCTTGCGCGCGTATAGCTTGTACGACCCCAGTCGCGATGATTGCTACCGACGTATCGATATTCAACCATGACGCACGATTAGAGATCGATTGTGTTCGCAGAAGATTGCGTTCAACTCGAATAGTATGTCCTCTCCAAGGATTGAATGTGTTTTTGGTGTTGGCTGCACGTGAGAATGCGCGAGTACGGACTTGACTCGGGATTGGAAAACATGTAAAGCAATACGCCTCAAGGAAGCAAAAGAACTCTTTAGCATGGAGCCATGTGGCGTTTTTCTTCAACAACGTTGAGGAGCAAAATGTGATTCCTGCAGGATCTCAGCTCCGCTGCTGCAATGGAATTCTGCCTGCGGCGTAGTCCGCGGAGTACGCTTCATCTCCCTAAGGGGTTATTGGTACGCCACATCTGCATACGAGGAGAATGAGGCATGGAAACTGGGAACCTTGATCAGCGCTTTGCAACTTGGACCCATATGGCGAAACGCTACACAGGGCCATGAGCATGCGAATCTGTCCCATTTCACAGAGATGGGGCTGCTTGCGTCTGCATCTTCGTATATGCGCTTGCAAGGTTCCATCCATCGATGATCGAGCCGCAAACCCACTTTGTAACAAACAATCACACTTATGGTTTTCTCCAATGCTGCGCCATTTGGTAGCTTGAAATCATCGCACGGGTATCAATCATCCAAGCTGCTAATGTGCAACAGTAAAACTCGCCAACCCTAGCTCCTCTCCACTAGCTAATAACCTTCATCAGATATCGTATCGCTATCGTGCAAACACGAGTTCTCCATTAGCTATAATCCACATACCAGGACCCCCGTCTCACCATCCCCCATACAGCAGCTCACAGGCT